AATTAAAACCAATCAAAATAAACCAGTGTAAAAGATACAGGGCTTCAAAACATTACAAAATCAATAATAGTTATCATAATGCCTTTTGATATCTTCAGAATAGCTGCAGGTAACTTTGGACATAGTAAAAAAAATCCGATAGAACAGAATAGAATAGAAACAGTAAAAACAAAACAATGAGTGCAATAAAGGACTTCAAAACAAGCAAGTAGTAAACCCAAAATACCATAATGTATCTTGCTGTCTTGGATATAGCTGCCCCTGCCATCAGATTCGATATAATTAAATAAAACAAAAGAAAATTCAATCCAACCCAGCAAAACAACGGAAATGATATAGGACTTCCAGAACAAGACCATAGGGAATCAACAATGGCTGCAGCCCTCAGAAGGAGATCCCCCCGCAGATGCCACACTGTGTACCACTGTCCTCTGAACCCATGGTCAGACCACTGGCCCTAGACCTGCAGTGTTAGTGAAACAGCAGAGCTCCACAGGCATCCAATTGCATTTCACTTCCATAGCTGTCATCATAGTATGGGTTTCTCTGGATAAGCTAGTTGTTTTCAGCAGGGGGCAGGGGAAGCAGGTTGGTCTTCTTATTTGCCAGCCTACATACTGGAAGGGGCTGGGCTCTGTCTGTTCCAGTCTGACAGCGACCTGTGCATGGCACTGGTTCCCAAACTGGGCTTGCTTGCTGGTTACTTTGTAGGTCAGGCTGGCCTTCAACTCGCAACGATCCTCCTGTCTCAGTCTCCCGAGTGCTGCGGACAGGTGCGCATCACCATGCCAGGCTTGCACTTTAAAGACAATTTGTGAACATGGAATTATGGGACTGTTTGCTAGTGCCCTATTTCCATCATGTTAACTTTCAAACAATCTTAAATCTGTCTCTTCTTCTGCATTGGCGTTGCCCTAAATCAGGCCATTGTGATCACCCTTAGACAGGTACTTTTCTTGTTAACTATGCCCTCTGATTAATGTCTACCCGCAGTTTAATGCTGCAGATCAGACTCCCTGAAAAGCAGAGCTGAGCCTAGGAGATATACCCCTGTAATCTGCAGGGCTTCCCTTTCCCCATGCCAGCTGTGAAGGCCTCTATTCCTAGCCTGTTGCAGGGAGGGCAATGGGGAACACACCCACCCTCCTGCTTCACCCCAGTCTCCCAGCAGAGATAGCAGCCCTGCCTGCTTCCTAGGCAGAACTGTGTAGAGTTGGAGTTCCTGCCTTGGGGACTGCTGGGGGATTAAGTGAGCTGATGTAGGTCAGGCACTTAGAATACAGCACTAGCCAACATGGGCTGGAGATAGGAGAAACAGGAAGATCTCAGGATTGCTCTGTGTACATAATCTTCCTACAAATTAAAGTCCCCACTTGGTTTATGTAACTCTTACGAAGTATGTCCTGTGCTCCATGTGTACCGTATGGAAATTTTGATCACAATGAGTCATTTATCAAGATTACTTTGCTTTTCGTAGTTACAGATGTTTATGTGACCTTGCCTATCAGAAAAGAACCTGGTTTACTGGGACTTCCTTTGTTGGCCTTCTAAAGTGTAGACTTCCTGCACACATGAATATTTTTAAGTTAGATGAAGAAAAATGACTTTATTGTAGGGCTATCCTTGAATCTGCAGTAATTGCTTTCAAAGTCGGTTAGAAACTTCCTTATTGATAGCTTACTCCCTTGAGAATTTCCTAATAGTGGATCCCTATCTGCAGGTTTGTTGAGAACTTCACAAGTGTTGGACAGAAATTTGAGTTCCTTAGCAAATCACCGGGGATCATTTTTATCCCTTTATATAATTACTATCAGCCTCAGAGCAGGCACTTGCCTTGTGCTGTGCACGCTCTTCACTGCTTGAAATTCTGAACCTCCGGCTGGGCCTGGCAAAATCATGGGCCCATCCTCTGTCTCAGAGACCTTTCTGATTCTTGCTCCTGTGTCAGTCTCATGTACATGTCCTGCCCCCACTCCTCTGCAGCATGTGTGTGTGTGCACATGTGCACACACATATACACGCACACACACAGCCTCATCTCTTGACCAGCATTTCCAGAGCCCAGTAGTTAATGCTTTCCTACACCTGTACTTACTACAGAGCTTTGTGTCCAGCCAATGAGATGGTGAATTCCCTGAGGAAGGTGCCCCTCCTGATGTCCTTTTATCCCCCAGTGTAGGATTGAGCAAAAAGTTAAAAGTAGGACAGCAGAGAGAAACTGGGACTCCCTATGTAGTTAAAGCTGCTTTGAACTCTCCTTGAACTTGCGGCTATCCTCCTGCCTCGGCTCCCCACCTTGCTACCCTCTGCAGAGCCCCCCATGGCTGGTTTGAACTGCCCCATTGCCTGCAGTAGCACTCAGGAAACTCAATTTTAATTTCTCAGCTGTGTGGGAACTTGATACTCAGACTGTTGAGTTGCCACTCCTTAATGGATCATGAATTTTGATAAGACCAGCACTATTTTTTTTATCAAGGAAGAAGAAACAACCTATATTTCAAAGAATAAAAGTATTATTTTTATGAAGCTTTTCTTAGGATGTTTTAACATGTATATGAGTCTCTGCATTGTGAAGTGCAGTGTAATATATTTGGTTAACAAGTTTGAATACTCTTCTTTGTAGTAAGTTCTTTTGTGAGGTTCTTTGACCTCTTTAGAGCACTGAAGATGTGTTTTATTTAGCTGGAACAGTGTCTGTCTCTTCAGAGCTGTGCAGTAACCATCTGCTTAAGGAAAGGATGCAGAGGAAGTTGGAGAATGAGCTCGCCCTGAGAAGGTCTTCATGAAGACCTGTGTAGCACCTTGTCTTGCATTCTTGGGTGGCAAATGTGTGTCTGCCACAGCATGCAAAAGGGGAGAAAGCGGGGCTGGGGATTATTTTTTTAAAAAAGGGGGAGAAAGCCTAGAACTCTAGTGTATGACTTCTTGAAGTTTTTTTTTTTTTTCATTATTCTTTGTTTTTTTGCCATATTTCAGTTTTCTGCTTTTTGTTTTATGTGCAACTAGTTTAAAGAGAGAGCATACTCATGTGAGGGCCTTCCCTGGAAAGGTGAGAGACAAACAAATGAGATGCTGTGTTCTCCAAGGTGGCAAAGCAGGGAGACTGCAGAGGCTGGGCGAGAGGTGGGAGAAACGTGGAAATGAAAAGAGAGTGCGCATGGGTGTGGCCCCAGGTTTGCCTGTGTCCTGAGAGGACTGACTGGCCTCTGGCAGGTGACACCTGCAAGGAAGTATGTTCCAACATCATGTGCTTTTAGCCATAATACAGCATTTATTTTGAAATTTAAAATGTTATTTCGAAAGGGCAGGAGATTTTTGTGTTCCCCAAAGGGCAGTAATGGCACACAGCACCACTTTTATTACTTTATAGTCCTACCTTGTGTATTGTCGGGGAAATGTTTATTAGCCATTAAGAATGCTTGAATAGTTTATTGTTATTTTGTCCAGATAAAAAGGAAACAGTAATTACTATTTATTTATCAAGATGCCAACAAATAGATTAAAAATGGGAAAGTGTACTCCTGGGGATTGAACCCCCTTTGGCATTGATTTACATCACCGCTTTTTTGTGATACAGGATCTTGCTAATTTGCAAAGTTGCCCAGGCTGGGGTTGACCTTGCGTCCGTCCATCTCCTAGAATGCTGGGATTATGGGAGTATGCCACCATGCCAGGCCATGCACTGTCTTGTAAATAATATATTCTGAAAGCTTTGAATTCTTAACATAATTTTAAAGCTAACAACAAATTAAATATGTGACATTTTATTCCTTTTACAATTGATTCATTAAATTTCTATTATTTCTAAATTCTAACTAAGCAAGTACACAAGACCAGGTAGCACAACGAAATCTGCCTTATCACCTCCCGGTGCCTTGTAAAAAGAATAATTCATACGCAGCATAAGCTTGTAAGGAAAATAACCGGAGACTCTCTTTCCCAGCACCGTGTCTGTCTGTGTTCACCTCAGAGCATCTTTGAGGAACGGTGGGTTCTAGCACTGTCTTCCCTCTGCCCTTCACCAGTAGTGCCCTCCAGGCAGGGAAAGGCTGCTCAGTGCCAGGAGAGAAACAAGGACCACTGCTTGGTCTTGGGCAGCTTTCCTTTGTGTATAAGTCAAGAACAGACCTGCAGAACTGGGAGTCTGCTGACAACAGAGACAGCGCGACCGGCAGACTGTTGCGGGGTAAAGGCCTTAGGACTGGAGCCAGTGGCGTGTGAGTCACAGGCTTGCACTACTCATCGTGTGCACTAAAGCACTGTGCTGCAGGCATGTGCCTCACAAAACCCCTTCCGGTGTCAGAAAGTCACTGCTTTAGAACAACAGTGTAGCCTGGCTGCTTCAGCAGGCTGTAAGGACACTTAATCCTCCCAGGAAGGGAGTCCCAAAATGAACAAGTAAAAATCTATGGTGTTTTCTTAAAAAGCAGGATATGGCAAAGACACCAGAAAGGGAGAAGATTACCCCCCTAAAAAAGGAGGCTAATCCTACAATTGATAAAAATAAGGCAAGTACAGTGATGTTCGGAGTACATGAAGTTGTGTAATAGTAATCACTGTATGTATGTTTAATATAAATAGTATTTTAACTCAATATATATTCCAGTATTTTCTATCACTAAAGCATTCCAGTAAACTGAAAGCAAAATTATTAGGAATAAAGTTAAAGACTTTGTCTAAAAGTTTTTCTGTAGCATCTTTGAACTTCAAGGAGATACCCAGAAAGCTGTATGTGTCATAACTATGGCCAAAGACGTCTTTCGGATGATTTACTTCTGTAGGTTGGTAAACCAAAGACTGGAAGAGTCATATTTGTGCTTTGAAAAATGGCTGTCAGTAAAATATGACTTTTATACACAAATAGAACTGTTAGTTTGTTCCCTGGACTAACTTATAAGAAATTTCTTACACAGTTTAGAAAGTCTTTGTTTGAAATTTTTACCTATAGTTATTTAAAGGATGTTTTACCTTTTTTTTCCCCCTGTCTTCTTGAAATACAGCTGATGTTTTTTGGAATCTTCCTGTGCCTGGATGCCTTTCTGTATGTGTTCACTCTGCTTCCTTTAAGAGTTTTTCTGGCACTATTCAGGCTCCTCACCCTGCCTTGTTATGGCTTAAGGTAAGTTTAAGATCATTAGCTATTTCAAGTGTCTACAGTTTGTTTACTATTAGTAAAACTTTTTAGAATAATGCAGTTTCACATATTGAACCTTAATGCATAAATCAATTGTTTCTTTTTCAATGGCCATTAGATAATACTGCACATTTTATATGCACTGTTTTTTCCAAATGATTTTGAACAAAACTGCTTTAGTGGCTTAGCCAGTGAAATAACATATGTGGCAGGCTGCGTAAGGACCCAGGACAGAGAGCCATTTGTGACACTCCCGACTTGCCTGACCTTTATTTTCTCACGCAGCCTGGGCCTCTAAGCATTCTTTGTGAAAGTCCCAGGTTCTCAGCCAGGTGGGCTGGAGGCGTCAGACTCTAGAGTTCTTCCAGTTAATCCAAGTATCACTGGGTCTGTGTCTTGTGAAGTTTTAGATACAATTGTATAGGCAAGATGTCCCTAATTTGTGATGGTGGGAAGCTCTCAAAGGTCACTGTCATAGTGGGAAGAATCAGACAGATCAGCCCAACACTGATGAGCTGGTGAATTATGGCAACTACCTGACATCTGTAGCCTGTCTCCGCTCAAGAGGAGGCTATGGGGAGATCAGTGTCTTTACCACAGAGGTATAGTGCAAATAGCCAAGCACAGTTCCCAGCTCCCACCACAAAACAAGTAGCAGTTTCTTTCCATTTGTTGTCTACAAAACAGTAACATAAAAATGTTAAGCCTGTGTAAAGCTTCGAGTTTTATTGGCTAACAGTCCGGAGGCAGTTTGAATATTGTAGTTTTCATTCTTTGTGTAGTTCTGCCTCCGCTCTGTGTAGTTACTCCTTATAATGTTACTGTTAGCATTTAATATAGTTGTCTCAGTTATATTTCTAACATGCATTATTTTCTAAATGAATATAGTTCATAAAATACAGTACAGTATATTTACAGTACAGTAAATTTGGTTCTGAAAAAGTTTTAAAATGCTAAAATGGACAATAATTTATGAAACTCCATTTATAGTGACTGTTCTGTGGGATATAAAATATATAAATAATAAAATAAATTTAACCTTGGAAATCAAGTTACAGAATTATTAATCCATATACAGAATTATATTTTTTAAAAGATGAAAATCACAGAATCATGTATTTTAAAGTAGAAAATGAACATATACTTAATATTTAGTAACACATGTATTTCCTTTAAAAAGGAGGCTTTATCAGTTTTGCTAAAGAAAAAATCTTTCCAGTGTAGGAATAATTTAATGATGATCTTATAAAATTAATAATTATTTTTTGCAAAGTTGCATGGAGTAAAACAATGTAAGTATTCAGCTTGTATTGTTGTATGATTCTTTACATTCTGTAATCTTTATTACCTCCCAAAATAACAATCAATTAGTGTTACATGTCATATTAATTACAAGTTAATCAGATGGGAAAATGTTTTTAGGAATTTAACTTTATACTTCAAATATATAATCTTTAAACTTTGAAAAGAATTTCTGACAAGCTCTTGTTCTAATTAGTAAATCCCTTAAAAGACACTGGGAGCATGGCGCTTTAATACTAACGAAACACCACTTCAGAGTACTGTTTTCTATTTCTGTTACTATTGGGTGATTGATAAAAAGCATTGCATTTTTTTAGTTTACCTTTCCAGAAGACCAAAATAAAATCTAGTAAAACTTTACTAAATGTAAATCCTTTTGTGTGACTTCAGAGAGGGTGGATAAGTATGATTTTAGGTAAAGTCAGGTGAAACTACGTGACGTAGAATAACTGATACCATGTAGGGGTTGGCACCTTGTTTTGATGGCCGTTGGCTTGATGAGATGCAGCACTAAGGGGTTTGTACCATAAAAGCTGTTTTCTTTCTGGAGGGTTCCTTCCTTGGGTATGGCGAGTACACAGGTTATGGCCCCCGAGTGGCCCTGAGGGCCTCTGGAGGCAGTGGGTTCTTAACTTGAAGACCTATCTGGTTGCTCAGTGCCTAGCAGCCAACACTCAGGCTCATTTGCGTGTGTCCCTTGTCACTTGGGGATGCAGGGTACTTAAGCAGCATTGGAACAGCCTTGTAGTGTCTGTTCTAAGTACCAAAGACAGGTATCAGGGAACTGGGCATCGTTAAGTCCTCTACTTGTTACTCCGTTGTAATTGATGCTTCCCAGTCCTAGTATTTTTTTAAGGTTTTTTTTTTTTTTTTTTTAGCACGTGTAGATGATTGCTTTTTTATATTTTCAAAACACTTTGCAATTTAATTCGAGTCACAAGTATTTCCTAATTTTAAGGTTTTGTTTAGTCAAGAGGACACTAGAGGGCAGCCTGTTACTACATTTAAGACTACTTCTACAGTTTGGATTAACGGGAAAATTCCATTTCATGCCATCACTAATAACTATGTGACATAAATGGAACATGAATTACAGTTCAAATTATTCCATTATTAGAATTTCAGTATCTAGAATACTCTGGCCGTATTACACAAAAAAATGAAAAAACTGCAGGTGTCAGTGCCTTCCTATGCTGTATCAACATGGAGCAATTGGTGCTTGCAGTAACGTTTTTACCTCTTTAATCAGCATAGAAAACATTCCCTTTGGTCACTGTTTTTAAAAGCACAGAATCTAAAATGTATGATAATATGGAAAGTTACATTAAACAAAACTGTTGTAAGTCTAAGACCTTTCAACTATTTGGAAGTATCAGCGTACATTTTAGTTTTATAAAGTTATTTAGAAACAGCCAGATTCTACCATCTTACAGCTTTCTTGGCGATGTTCTCTGCTTCGAGTAGAGATAAGTTGATTTGTCTTGCCTGTAGCTGTATTATGTTCCATCCTTTTCAGCAAGCAAAAGTGCTTCCTTCCACTCTTTTTCCCAAAGTAGATGAGATTAAAGAGATCAGCAAAGAAGTCAATTGCATACTTTTTTCTGACAAAGTTTTCTTTTTCTCTCCTATATTTCAATCTTCTTTCCATAACAAATGTACTTTCTTCCTAGCCTGTTAATTCTTTGAACTCATTCTCCCCAAAGGGGAGGAGGGAGTGTATTTGTTAAATTAATAAAATAATGACATGAAAGTAATAACTGTCTGCAATCTAGGATTGTTTGTTTCAGTATCAAAAATTAATAGTGTCTTATTATTTACCTTTTCATACTTGTGAGTACCTTTTCACCTCCTTGGCATGAAGAGTTCTATCTGGTACAGCATTTTAAAGCAGATAGATCTCCAGATTTTCTACCTCAGAATTAAACCTTTGAATTTGTTTCTCGATCTTCTACTAACTTAGCCTGGGTTTTCCCCGATTCCCCACCGCAATCACCCCCACCCCTCCAGTATTTACAGCTAAGTTAAGAAATGTTCTACTTTTCCTTAGGGTGAGGACCAGGACAGTTCTGCTGCTCTGTAAGGAAGCCAGCCTCTTCGTGCCTCCCTCGCCAGTGGGGGTGCATTTTGACCTTTGTAAAGATCTTTATGAGAGTTGGCAGGAAAATTAGCTCAGTCTGTGGTGGTTTGTTGTTCACAAAGAACTGGCTGCTTATGCATAAAGTTCACATCTATCTTCAGTGATCTCAGACATACTTAGTACCAGTTTGTAATGAACTAATGGTCTTTAAAAATCTTTGCCTCCAGTTTTGTGGTAGAAAGAGAAAAAGCATATAGATTCTTTAAAAGCAGAGGCATTTATGTGTTTCTTCCCTCTCTGAGAGAGGATAGTATCTTTTTAGGAAAAAATTTGAGAAACTTCTTGTGTTAGGATAATCTTTTTAATGAAATGAAAAACAATTAAGTTGTAATTCATTTTATGAAGCATCTCCTCTTCTAGGAAAAATGAGATTTTTCCAGAAATAATAGACTGCTCTGTATTATGCTAAAGAGATAGCAAAACATCAGTTTTCCAAATTTATTTACAGAACAAATCTTAAAATAGTCAATTATGTATTTTTAATTTGTCTTTTTTTGTGAACCCTATTTAAGATTTGTGATATTATTGTATGCTTTAGAATTCTCAGTTACATTTGATTTATACTTTAAAGGAGATTATAGAGAGAAATGATCAGATATTATGTCAAGAACTGATAATTATTGTTGAAAAAAACTTTACTGAATTGTTTTAGGCAATGATTAGTTGATTAGGCATAAGTAATAAACGCTAGTGTATTTTTTCTTTTACTTTTTGAGCATATAAAATACATACAAGCAAATTTCCTGATCCTTCCCCTTTTAGTCATAACTCTTATTTGAGGCTTCACTGACTATGTAACTTTTTGTTTTGCTTGATTGGTTGGTTTTTTCCCCCCTTGGTTGTTTTAAAAGGCAAGGTATCTTTTTCTTTTCAGAGCTGACCCATTAGGAAAGCTCTTGTCTCCAAGAAGAGCTATGAACTTCAGATACTTGCATTTCTTAACCTAGTGGGATTCCTCCATGCATCTTAGCTCTTTCAAGATAGTTCGTCCCATTAACTTTATGCATTACAAATAAATTTTTCGCTTTTCAGGCAAAATTAAGTCTTGTTTCTGGCCTAAGTCATTAATGCCACCATGAGAACACGTGTAGCGAGAGCCCTTGTATCTTTCTCTGGGGAAGGTGTCTGCTTTTTCCTCTTAGCAGGGCTGATCTGTGTGACTTCCTGGTGGAGGGCAGTGTATTTGGTAAACTAGAAAGTCTTCTTAACATCAGGTTTTATTGTCCCTGTTTCCTCACCATGCCGCTCTAAAGTAGCGTAGCAACATTACAACCTTCTCTCTTTCTTTCTCTCTTGTAAATCAGACCGAAGGGAGGAGCACTTTCACTTCCTTTATAGAATGGAATGTGGTGGCACAGGGACTCCTGGTGGTGAGTAAACCCTGATTTTTCCTTCTATACTCTTGGCCACATTGACATCAGTACAAATATTATGCTGCAAAAGTAACAGCGTAGACAGACAGAACCTACCATGCTGGAATGGAAACATGCTGAGAAAGTATGGTTTCTGTCCTTCAGGAGCCTCCTTGCCTAGGCTCAAAGCGCTG